CAAAAGGCTATCCAACTCATTTTACAAGTTTAGAACAATCTTATATACTTGTATTCTGATAGAAGCAAAGGGCAAGGGCAGTAGAGGGGAGGAAATGTAATTTACGAACGTGGATGCAAACATAAGGTAAAATAAAATCAAATAGGAGAGAAGTTTCAGAAATTAAAATTAGTAGGGTCGAAAGTCTTCTTAAAAACAAAGATTTATCTTAAGGATGCAAAGATATTTCAAGTCAGAACATCTATTCATGTCATTTCTCATGGTAACAGAATTAACACTAAATTCCTATTAACATTTCAATCAGCTGTGAAGAAAATTGAATGAAATTCAATAGTTATGATGACAAAAAAATCTTTTAGAGACTAGTCATTAAAGGGAAAGAGCTGAACGTCACAAAATACAACTAGAAAAAACCTCTGGCAAATATCAAATTTTGGGGTGAGACTTTGGAAGCAATTCCATTAAAATTAAGAGTGGTACGTGTTGGTCATGACGTTTAGTCAACATTGTGATGGGGGCTCTAGTTACTGTGGCTCACTTCCCCACAGGAAAAAGACGAGGGGACTTTAAATATTGACAAAGAAGAACTTATTATTTTCAGCCAGTATAGTAAACATGGAAAATCTAATTCATCTACATTAAATCGTACACAAACAGGAAAAATCAGACTTTCAACTACAGAAAACAAAGCGGTGGTTGCCAGAGGGGATGGGGGACAGAGAGAAAAGTGATTGAGACCCATCGAACTTGATGAGCATGAGAAATGTACAGAATGGCTGTGTCATAATATTAAAAAATTAGAGGAATATTAAGATTAAGGTTGTTGGGTCCATGTGTGAAAAAGATAACACTTTTTATTGTAATACTAACTATGTGTATCTGGTTTCTATGGAAGGAAGTATTGAAAGACCTAAGAGAAAATGTGAAATGGAGAGACATAGATGTTAATGGTTCAAAATCTTTGATACTATAAAATTGTCAACTTCTTTCAGAAACCTACTGATTTCATGTGCTTCCAAAAATATCAAATTTCCTGGAGTTTGACAAGATAAGCCAAAGCATGTATGGAAGCACAATGGGCCAAGAATAGCCATGGGGCACCTGGGTGGCTCAGTTGGTTGAGCGTCTGACTTCGGCTCAGGTCATGATCTCATGGTTCGTGGATTCGAGCCCCACGTTGGGCTGCAGCCAATCTGGAAAGCCCTGGCCCTGCCTTGCCTGGATTCTGTGCTGTCACCTCTCTGAGCCGTGGTGTCCCTCCCTGCCAGGATAGCTGACCCGCACAGCTGTCGGGGGGATTGCGTTTCACTCCACGTCCAAAGTCAGCGCCGGTGAGAGATGCGGAACTAACATCTCCACATAGGTTTTTTATTAAGCGGATAGGCTGAGGCAACATGAGGTACTTCTGGAAAACGCCGTTTCAGATGTTCTCTTTAGAACAAACTGAGCAGCGCGGCGCCTGGGTGGCTCGGTCGGTTAAGCGTCCGACTTCGGCTCAGGTCACGATCTCACGGGCCGTGGGTTCGAGCCCCGTGTCGGGCTCTGTGCCGACAGCTCAGAGCCTGGAGCCTGTTTCAGATTCTGTGTCTCCCTCTCTCTGTGACCCTCCCCCGTTCATGCTCTCTCTCTGTCTCAAAAATAAATAAACGTTAAAAAAAAATTTTTTTTTTAAATAAAAAAAGAACAAATTGAGTAGGTATCTAGTCAAAAGGCATCTGGGAGTAGTTAGGGCAAGGCTTTAGGCCCAGCCTCCAGATTCCCCCCATGTGGACACCAAGGACCTTTCTACCTCCTCAGTAGCAGGGCCCCAGCTGGCCCCTTCAGAGGCACTTAAGGACTTCTACACAGTTCTTCTGGATGTTCCTGGTTGGGAACTCCCTGGATATTTGAAACCACCAACGTCAGGCCCACCCCGCGGAATTCTGATCTAACGGGTCTGGGTGCAGGTTGGCAGGAGAAGCTTGAGCTCCCGGGAATAATCCTCACGTTCAGCCTGGAGTGAGCTCCCTGCCCGAAACCAGTCTGGGTTGCCGGAAAACACAGCAGCTCACGTCATTTCCACTCTGCCCCAGCGGTGGCGCAGACACGGGGTGCCTGACTGCCCGACAGACTGGCTGGCAGCTGGCCTCTCCTACAGCCTCTGTCCAGAGCCTGGGGACTGGCTCGATGTCCCCATCACCAACAGCCATACCTTCTGCCTCTCTGTCCCTCTACCTGTCTCTTGTTCCCACACTCCTCTGTCCACATTAGCCGTTCACTGGTATCTGTTAAGCTGTCACCTACCCACCTATATAGCTGCCATAAAATTTGGCTCCGCTCACGTCCTATATGCTCCTCGCTGGAGATGCAGGGGTTCTCCTGTGCTGCTCTCTCTGCCCCAGCTCTACACGGCCAGAGCCCCAGCTCCAGAGGAGAGACTTGCTCCCCACTAGCCACATCCACACGACTTCGCTGAAATATACAGAGCCCAACCTTGTGCTGAGGAAAGGGCCATTTCCTCTTCCCTTGATGGCTGCTAAGAGCCCATGGCCAGGAGTAAGTCTGGACATGGTGGTTATCCAGGAAGGATGGCTCGTTCCTGAGTGGGAGGGGATATTCCCAGTGAGAGAGAAGAATCCAAGAGGAGTCTGGTGTAGCATGTTTCCGCTTTACAAAGGACCATTTCTAACCCCTCTCTGCATCTCCAGGGCCAAGCATAGAGCCTGGCTTGGGGCTGGTGTCCCACGGAATGAACGAATGAATGATCTGTGCTGCTTCCCAGGCTCTGATCCTTTCAGCAGTTCTTAGATGTCCCGCTTGTTGCTTTGCTCCTCTGATGTGATGCTCTGATGCCCCCTGGCAGAGCTCACGGAGTGGGGAGGTGGGCGGGGGGAGGAGGGTCACCTGCATCCCATGGGAACTGAAGATTTCTCCCTGCGACTGCTTCCCACCTCTCCGTCAGCCCAAATCCACTGGTAGCTGTGGCCACAACTCTGTTGGAATTCTCTCGTCCTGAATGTTTGCCTACAGCTGCTGCCCTTGTGGTTCTCACCCTGCTCAAGTCACATGCTTGGAGTTAGGCTCCCCCTAGCAGTCCCCTCTCAGGGCCAGGGTCCTCGGCCTGGCTCAGAAAGACAAACATTGACCTTGCCAAGGCAATATGCGAAGGCTCCCATTCTTACTAAGCGTGATCGAGGTGCCCAGGGTATGTTTGCTCTCCCAGTTTCTGTCAAATTTACTGCCTCCTTGGAAAGCATCCCATCCTTTTGTTTCTTCTGACATCCTAGGGCCACCTGTCAATCAATTTTTTCCTTGGAGATCACAATGCAAACAGGTCCCAGAAATCTAGGGGCCCTGAGGAGTTTGCTCTCTTCCCTAATCTCTCTCCCCTCCCACACCTTCTGCCCCACTCACTGTACTGGATGTCCGGTCAAAAGCTAGAAGATGCAGATCCCTGGAAAATTGAAGCAACAATGTTTTACTTTTAAGTCTCAGGTACTAAATGTGATGCTGCATTAGCATTCTGATCTTTCTCAAGCCTTTACCCTGAATTTCTGCCATTGGGCAGAACCAAAACATGTCAAGGACAAAGGAAGACACCTTATCTATTCCTTAGAATTGTGGAAGCCACAAGGCAGAGCCTGTGGCCTTTGTCATTCCTTTTGACAGCCCACCCTGTTTCCTGAATTCCAAAGGATCCAGTGCTTAGATGAGCCACTAGAAATACTGAACAAACCAACACTTGCTTTGAAAAAAGATCTTTATTCAGCTTTTCTATCATAAGTAAAGGCTAAGAAGTATACCACATCCAAAGAACCTAGCTTATGATAAGTAAAAAAGAGAGAGAGAGAGATTCCATCTAGAAAGAGCTCTCCTGCTTTTTTTGTTCTCTGTTGGCTCAGAGCTGCCTGCAGGATTTGAAGATATTGGCATCTGCTTGCCTGACATTTTGTCCCAGCATCAAGCCTGTGTTTCCAGGAAAACCGGCCACTACCTGTCTGCACTTGCCCTTCACCTTGTGCCCGTGACAAGGTAAACAGAGTTGGGGTGATGCTGGGTGCCAAACTCTGGGGTCCCTTTTCTTCCTTTCTCACATGGGTTCCAGAGCTGGTGGGGCCAATGTTTGAGCACCACATAAGTCCTCCTGGTTTCACATCCTAGGGCTCCAAGGCCAACCACTGGCCATGAGGGTGCCATGAGGCCCTAGGGTGAAGACTGCCACAGCCAGGAAGACTCCAGCAGAGATGGCAGTGCCCGCGGTGTCCCTGTTGGCCCCCCGTCACCAGTCACCCTGTCCTGTGTCCTCTCCATAGCTCCCACCCCACTGGAAGTACGATGCACTCAACTTATCTCTGAATAGCATCCCCTCCCCATGGAATGTAAGCTCCATGGGGACAGGGGGCAGGGGGCTGGACTTTGATCTCTTTCTGTTTGTCTCCTGGCACATAAGAGTCCTTCGATGAATGGACACGGAATGAGTGCTTATGTGAGGTAAGAGCCTAGAATCAGCTGGACACGGGCGCACCAGGACACATGACACGAGGAGACAGAGCCGCCAAAGATGCCGCGTGGGGTGGAACCCAAGAACCCAGAGGAGGGTTTGTGATAACTACCACTACCCCACACCTGTCCCTGTCACCGGTGCTACCACAGCTGTTGACGTGTCTCAGCCTGGACCAGAAAACCTGGGAATCAGTCTGCTGATATGTCGTCATCCACACCGCCAACAAAACAGCAGAGCAGGAAATGCGATCCCTGTTCTGGAAGAGGAGGAAAGTGGGATGGCCGACCCCCGAGGAGACATCAGCCTTGTGAGCAGCGGGAATAAACCGATCCTGCCTGCATCCCCACGGCCTAGACCCTGATTCCACCGTGCCCGGGGACACGGGCCCCTGTTGTTATTACTGTCATGCGTCATAATGTTATCATTAGTGTTGTGTTGTTGATATTGGTGACAATGACCATAGTAACAAAAGCCACCATTCATCACCCCCAAGAACTTAAACCAGGTAGAGGCCAAGGCAGTTTAACATTATTTTATTGTAGCTCCTCAACAGTCCTAATAGGGAAGTATTAACATTTTTGTGTTACAGATGAGGAGTATGAGGTTCTGGGAGTTCAGATCCCAGAGGACAAAGGTATCGGTGTCACGGGGGAGAACTCTCTTGCCCAAGCATTACACATGGTCCCCTGTAGACCGGGAGCCCATGGAAGAAGGCGGGAAGCAGATCTAGTGAACTCTGCATCACCCGGTGTGGCACAGCAGGCCTGGCACACGGTGGGTGCCCGATTTGAGGTGGACCACGACACCGACAGAATCATCCCGGGTCCCCGCGGGCCACAGGCCTAGGGGCGGGAGGGCGGCCACCTGGCCAGGCTCCTCTTCACAGCCTGCGGGGCCTGCAGCTGAATGGGTCCCAGGACGACGTCCACCTTCTCCTGGTAGGAGCCCACGTCCCTCTTGGACCTCACGATGCAGCCTCTGCGGCAGCGGGAGAAGTAGTCGTCCGCCCGGCACACCACCATTTTACACCGCAGGTACACGGAGGGGAAGCGCTTCAGGAAGTAGAAGGAACTGAATTTGAAGCGGGCAATGCGAGGCGAGGGCGGAGAGTAAGATTGGTAGGTTCTGTCCTTGGCACACCTGGAAGAGGAGAAAAGCAGCCTGTCAGCCCTGGGTGCGCTGCCTTTCTCAGGACACGCCCGGGCCGGGCGTGGAGCCCCACGGCCTCCTCTAGGCCCGCGTTCCCGGCTGCACCTTCCTTCCCTCAGTACGTGTGGTTCACACGTGGCCTGGCAGCCTCCAGGAAAATCCTAGTTCTGGTACCTCAGCAGCATCTTAAAGCGGGAAATCAGCCCAGGGTTGCCGCACGGACAAGCAGGCCCCGGATTGCACAACGGGTGCCCAGTGACCATGTGCTCAGCGGCCCTGGCAATCCAGGTGATTCGGGGAGGTCTCGGGGCTCAGAGAGAGGGCAGGCAGGCAAGAAGATGGCATTTCTTTTCCTTTCCTGGTCTCAGGGCCAGGCAAGATGACACTCTCCAGTGTCTACTCTCCAGTGTCTCTGGTGCCGCCCTCTCTCCGGGGCTGTGTCTGCTGACCTGGCCCGGTGGCTGTACTTTCCACACGAGCCTGACTACCCTCGGCGTCCCCTACTCCAATATCAACCACCTCCTTCTTCCCTCAGTCGCCTCATCTCCACTGTGTTAGAAGGAACATGACCAGAATCCCCTGAAAGAAACTGTACTAAGATATGGATGAGGAGGATCTCCCAGCTCCACCCCGAGCTGAGGAAGGAGCTTGCCTAACCCGTGAGTGTCTCCTACGGTAGGATTTGGCATGACGTAGCGAAGGGGAGAGCAAAGAAACTGGCCTGTGGGGTTTTAGGCGGAGATTTTTTGTGGTGGACGGGAGCTGTCCCTAGGGTGGCCCTGACTCTGCCTGCGAAATGTGACCCGGGGTCTACTCGCTGTCTTCCTTCTGCCTTCCAGAGGCTCCTTCCTCCACTTTCAACGCACATTCTCTCAAATACCATGTTCTTTTTTCCCACAGGGGTCACTTTAGCCGCAAAGGTGAGAGGGAAAGTACCCAGAGCCTGTCAGAAGTAGGACAGTTGTAAATGAGGTCAGGGTAGCTCAGGGGCTGCCGGGAAATGATTGCATTCCCCAAAAAACCACACTAGTCATGGCGGTCTGTGTAGGCCAGAGCTCCAGAACCCAGACTGCACTTCAGAATCACTGGGGGAAATTTTAAAAATACGGATCCCCAAACCCCACCACAGACCAAATAAAGAGAATGTGCAGGTGGGGCCTGGGCATGGGTGTGTTTAAAGCTCCAGATTACTCTGAAGGCCCCCCAGGTGGGTGATCTGGTTGATGGCAAGATGTACCAATGCATCCCTGTACTCCAGGGACAGCTGGGCCCACATTTACCCCCACATGCACATCCCCCTTTCCTGAGGACACTGCATTATCTTATATACATATATGCCAGAATTTGGCCAAAAAGAATCTTTTAGCAGAGAAGAGCCAAATCACTCATTTGTGTTAATCTCAATCGTTTGACATAAATTCCAATGTCACCGTGTTACTATTTGTAGAAAGAGAATTTGGGTAAGCTTCTCTCCCATCTTTGCTGCCAAGGGGGGGGGGGGGCTGCCGTGAACGGAGCCAACTGCATAGATGGAACGAGACAGGCCTTAACACCTATTTGCCAAATTGACACATACTCAAACTGTGCCTGGAAAGAGATGCTGTTTTTAGTATCTCAGGGAGGTGTAAGATTTAACCTCCCAACCCTGATTCATAACAGAGCCCCTTAGCCTATCAGCACAACCTCTAAATTGTGCTTTTATGTGATTGTTACTGAGGTGCCAAGGGGCGCCTGGTGGCTCAGTCGGTTGAGCGTCCAACTTTGGTTTAGGTCATGATCTCGTGGTTTGTGGGTTCAAGCCCCGTGTTGGGCTCTGTGCTGGCAGCTCGGAGCTTGGAACCTGCTTCAGATTCTGTGACTCCCTGTCTCTCCTACCCTCCCCTACTCATGCTGTCTCTCTCTCTCTCTCTCTCTCTCTCTCTCAAAAATAAATAATCCAGGGAAGCGGGACTGCAGAGAAGTGCAACCTGGGTACCAGTAACCGCAGTCTGGCCACACTGGCCACCAACTGGCTTGGTTGGAACCACCATTCTCAGCTTCTAGCTTAAGGGACCCTTGCTGACCCCTGCTACTCACCCACAACCTTCCTTGTGGCCCACCTTCTGTGCCTGCTCTTTGCCCAGGGCCGCATCTACTCCTTCCCATCTCATCCTCCCAACAGCCTATGATGTGGGCATCACTATGAGCATCTGATGGGTGGGGAGACTGGCTCAGGATAGATGCCCTTGCCCGCCCACAGCAATGCAGCTGGTCCACGGCAGAGCTGGCATCTCAACCTCTATCTGCTGCAGAACCAAGGCTTTCCCCACCACACATATGTCTTCTTATGGAGTTTGGTCACCTGGGTCAAATCCCAGTTACAGCTAACCTGCTTGGTGACTGCTGGTGACTCATTCACTTCTCCACCATCTCCACACATCTGTCTCCCCATATGTGAACCAGGAATGACAACCTGAATGGTTACATTGGAACCACTAGAACCCAAATCTGCATTCCTTGAGACTTTGGGCTACTTGGGTTTGAATTGTCAGGTGAAGGCTAACATTCACTCCATGAAGACACTCCTTACCCACTCCGGATAAGATCGTAAGTCAAAGATGTGAAGTCGTTGGAATATGGGGACGCCACACAGGTATCCACAAATAAGGCCAAGGAGGCATCAGAATGGAGGATCTCAGCTTGAAGGTACAAGTTCTGGTTCAGGTCCACATAGTACGGACTGCTGGTCACAGGATACAAAAATGAAGATGATGTATAAAAGGAAAGGTTCACGTTGAAACTGCTATACTGCACTTCCTTGATGTCGACGGTGTCATTAGCAATGTACATGGTGTCAATCCAGGTGTTCTGGAGCATCCTGCAGCTGATATGAATGCGGAAGTCCTTATGCCTCTTGATGATGGCATTTGAAGCAGCTGCTTCGAGGAAGTTGGAATAGATGATGGTATCATTATTGGCCTGGGAGAGGAAGGCGGGAGAGCAAAGTCAGGCAACTGTCACCTGCTGAGGGAAGCTCATTGCTGAATTGGGTGACAACGAGGGCAAAGTGACTCAGCCAGACTTCAAAACCCTCCCAGGACCACACAGAGAAGGCACGCGGCTGCTACCATGGCTCCCACGACCTGGGCTGGGCATGCTGCTACACCAGCAGGACTCCTTCCTTTCACACAACTCCCTTCCTCTACCATGTGATGGGGACCACAGTGTGGGCCAGGTGTTAGGGTTTCCTGGGAGCCGCTCCTCTTGGGAAGACGGGCGTGTCTGGATGACCCCTTGCCGTGCTGCACAACTAAGCTGCCCGGACTCCGTGGCTCAGGGCCCTCTGTGCTGGCTTTGCCTCCTTCTCACCATGGCTGGGATAAACCAAGGGAGGTGGCTATGTATTTGACGTATTTGGGGGAGAGGCTGGTGGGATCAGTTGTCACTGTGCTGTTCGGATGGCTCAGTAGCTATTGCAGCTTGGTGTCTGAGGCCGCCGGGACGGGAAGCGACCTCAGGGGTGGGGGCTTCCCCAGAGGCTCAGGTGGACAATTGAATGGGCTGCAACAATGCTGGCGTCCTTCCCATCACACTCTGCTTTTCCACTCCCCCTACCACGGGACCGCTTCCTACTGTGCCTTTTACAGCAAATTCATAGGAATGTTGATCTCTCATGCTGTTCGATGTGCCTAAGAGTGACCTTCTGGGGATGAGAGCCTTGCACTCCATGGTCTGTGAGCATCTCAAGGAAAAAATGATGTCATCAGGACTTGGCATGGTGTCAACAGTTCTATAAGCATCAATCAAAACCGTGGAATGAATGAAAGCCACAGGGGACAGGGCTCAGCAAAAGTACTGTCATGAATGAAAAATGGGGCCCAGATGGCCAAGAAGACAAGATAAATGCAGCCCTCTGGCAGCTTCATGGTCATGATCACCTGGCCCCAAGCGAGGTGAGCCCAAGCCAGTGGTTGCCAGGCAGAGGCAGGGGTAACACGCCCCCTCCCAGTGTTACGATGGCCAGAAGCAAACTTCTTTTTGCTAGCCAAGTATGAATTCTCACAAGCAACTGGTGCTTTTGCAAGAACAAGAACGAAAATAACACCACGGTGGTGTCCTAAAATGTGAAGCTAAATTACTCTTAAAAAAAAAAAAAAAAAGCGGTTTGCCATGTCGTCACATTTCGTTGTGTGCCCTGTCCAGAACAAAACCCAGTTCCTGGCTATTTGGGAGTATAGACAAGTTCTCTGCTGCAGCCAGCACCTGTATGTACACCCAAATACCACTGTTCTTCAGAACAGAGTGTGTTGGGGGCCAGCTGGTGGCTCAGTTGGTTAAGTGCCCGACTCCTGACTTTGGCTCAGGTCATGATCTCAGGGTTTGTGAGTTCGAGCCCCACATCAGGTTCTGTGCTGACAGTGGGGAGCCTGCTTGGGATTCTGTCTCTCCCTCTCTCTCTGCCCCTCCACCACTTGTGCTCACTCGCTCTCTCTCTCCCCAAAATTAAAAACAGAGTTGTTCGAAAGGCTTTCACTTCATGCCTGCAGTTGCAGAACTCAACTGAATTTGTCCCTTCCAGAAAAACACGTGGAAAGAGAACATTTTAACAAGTAATTTAAAGTATTTTTGCCAGCCCTATGACCCTTCCTTCCCCTCCTTTTCCTTTTCTCCACTGGGTGGCTGGGGAGGTCTCTGCAGCCCCAGACAGCAGGGGAGTACCAGAATCTTCTGGACTCAGGTCTGGGGAAGGCATCCTTCTGGTGGGGTTGGGAGACCTCATCTCTTCTATGCCCACCATCCATGCATGGAAAATACACTATATTTTCTAAAACGAATTAAAGAAAAAAGAATTGCTTTATGTTTGAGTGAACGTGGTTGTCAAAGGCAACCATATAGATGTCACTTGGTTACTCCTTCAGAGACCAGCTGAGGTGCCTTCAATGTCATTCCAGATACTGAAACCAAAGTTTTCTTAGAATTCACATTTGTCCCTGACTTCTGCAGTCAAGCTAAATTCTGAATCCACTCCAAGCAATGAATGTGGCGTGAAGGTTTATTTGTTGATCATAAAAAGCAGTTCTGATTTTATATTACAATTCATTATCAGATGTCTGCTCAGTCTGGAAGGAACTCACTATGTAACGGGGAGTCTTGCACATAAGTCAACTGCTATTCTCATGAAGTCTCAGACTCGGGATTCCACTTGGCGTCCCTCCCCTGTGGTGGGGGGACCTCACCTATTCAGACACACCAGCCAACACTTGTCAGACGCTGTGTGCCGTCCAGCCTTTGAATCCTGGCTCTGCAGTTCATGACCAGGTGGCCTCAGGCAAGTGGCTTAACCCCTGCAAGCCTGCGCTTCCTCACGATTACATGGGAATAAAAGTTGCCCCGAGAACTTCGGAAGTCACATAGAACTTAGTTCAGTTGCTGGCATACAGATTAGTGGTTAATAATATGATTATAAAGGGTTGGGCACCACTGGGAGCTGCAAAGACGAATAAGACGTTGGCTCTGCCCTGAGGCCCTCAGCCCGGTAGGGGACGCAGCCATTTAAATAAATGGAGGAAGGACAATGTAGCATGTGTTGCCCACCATCAGCCAAGTTAGAAGAACCAGCACCGGCACGTTGCTTTGGTGGCTCCTAATGGAGACGCAGGAACATCGATGAGGTGACCCAGATGTCAGAGTCTCCAGGCTGCACGTTTGGAACCAGGAGGGATAATCACCTTTGGTGCACTGACTCCCACTGACTAAACTCATGGCAAACCAGAATCCAACAGAATTAAATTATAGGGCAAAATATAAAAAAGCCAGATTGACTAAAATGTTTGCATGGTGTGAGTGATACGCTCCCTTCTCTGCGTGTAGGTCTCCCTGACCCACTCAGTTCATCTCAGAAGGAGAGCTGGTGTCTGTAGGGACTGAGGAAAAGGAGCCAGTGTCTGTAGGGACTGAGGAAATGGCCACAGTGGCAATTTAGACCCTCAGGCCTAGGCACCCACTCATGGCCAACAGGCCAATCTGTTTGGCTAAATGACCATCCCCTTCGTCTCCACTGTTTCTTATGTGTCAAAGGATCAGGAATGACCTTGCCAGGTAATGAACAGCATCTTCTCGGCACCTGACCCAGTGCTGGGTCACAGCAAATGCTCAGTACGTCTTTGGTGAGTTGACACCCTCTGAACGTGTGTGTGTGCTGCACACATTATATATGCTCGAGCATTTCATGTTGTGTGTTTACTGCAGTCCTAAGCCACGTAAAAACATTTGCACTGCGCCTGTTCCCTGAAGACGACATCTTGAAATGATTACTTAGGTGTCAGCCAAACGTTCAGAACTTAGGATAGATAATTTAAAGTGAGTTTACATAAAATTAAATGCCACCATTGTAAGGATGCCACTCAGCGAGGTTTGACAATCAGCACTACCACAAGAGACGGAAGACTTCCACGAACCAAAACAGCTCCTTCCTGCCCTTTTGCAGGCAATCCCCTCTGACCAGGTTGGCTTGCCATCACTCGCTTGTTCTCCGTGTCTGAATTTTACACACAGGGAATCGAAGAGTAAGTACTCCTGTGTGGCTGGCTTCTTTCACTCCGGGAAAGGCTTTTGGGATTCCCAGAGTCTGGCATTTGCCCTACTCTTTCTTGGCCAAGTGGTGTTGGGCAACCTGCTTGACCCTTCGAAGCCCAACCTCCCTATTTTTAAAGTGGGTTGATGATGAGAGAACACTTGACGGGGATTTGGGGAGCGTGACACCGGCTAATCCCAGTGTCTGGTCCCTGGTAGGATGAGCAACCGTCCAGTTTGCTCAGGATCGAGGAGTTTTGTGGGATATGGGACTCTGCCATGCTGAAATCTGCAAAGTCCCAGGCAAGCCAAGACAGTCGGTCACCCTAGATGGTGACACCTCAGCAAATGGTAGCTGCAGAGGCTGATTTTCTGTGAAGCTAATGAAACTTAAGCCTCAGGGCTTCCCACATGCATGGTTTCTTCCAAGGCCTAGCGGTGTGTTGGCCAGCCATATATTTTTATGAGATTGATAAAAGGTCGCATTGTTCTCTTTAATGAGGCACCCCCCCCCCCCACCAACCGTAATCCCAAACCCTATAAGCTTCAGGCCCTGTAAAACCTGGAGCTGCCCCTGGGAGGCGCTACAGTCATTGCTGATGTGAGTGGCAGCCTGCCCTGCACCCTCTATGCCCGACAGGGTGGGGAAAACTGGGTGCGGAAGGCAGCCTCCTTCCTCATCCTTACATTTGGAAGCGGCTGTAGCTACATCATAGCATCAAGGGACAGGTTGAAATCTTCACCCTGATTACACTGACTGTAGCATCATGAATTCAAGAAACACAGCACACATCACTTTAAGAAAGATCACTCAGTAGGAGAGAGAGTAGAAAGCCTTGGGCTCACCTGCTTGATGGTGCCACAGCCTGAGTATGGAATTGTGAATGTCACCTGGCTGGCCGTTATCTGGGGCTGACACCGGTAGCTTTCATTCCAGCTGGGAATGAAAAGGTCCCGGGCAGAGTAGCCCAAGGATTGGAGGTAGCTCCTGCTCACGCTGGCTTGCATGTGATTTGGCAGACAAAGCAGCTCTGGTGGCCAAGGGAAAACAACACCGGCAGTCAGCACCCCAGCAAGCCCGCCAGGCACCCCTCCCGTAGAAAGGCGCAGAGACCAAGATGGCGGATGAAGACAGTCCGCATTGGAACAGGCTTCATCCCAACCCCCCAGCTGCCCCCTGGCTCGGGTCAGCGTCATTCTCACAAGACCCCTTTGAGGGCACAGGAACTTAGGATTCCCCTGATGGAGAAATGGAGGCAGGACACGAAATGGGTAAAATGTTTTGCCAACCTGCCATTTATCCATAAAGTAAGGCTCCGGTTGAAGGGTTGGGAAATTGTAAAATAAAGTCCTTTAGCTATGGAACAAGTCAATGCTTAAAATCCTGACTGCGAAAGAGAGCCTGGATATCACCTTGCCCGGTCCCTAAGCCAATCTGTAATCAGTCCACTTAACAGCTCAAATCGTGGCCATTAGCTGGAAGCAGCTGAGTGGATGGTTCAGTCCATCTTGAGATCACAGCCAAACGTGCTGTCTCGGGGCACAGTCTCAGTGGCCCCAAGATCACCTGTGTCCCCTGGCGCGGACATCTCACCATGTGCTGAAAGTATGACCTCACATTTAGTCTCTGATGACCACAGTAAGGCCACCACACTGCCCATCGGCCAGTTCTGGCCCTTGACCTCATTTCTGGGCAGCCAGAGTCCAAGACCACTGCTCTTGGCCCCTCCCAGCACCAGATAAGCCTCGGTGACCTGACAAGGTTGCCCTGGCTTCTTACTTCACAACCACAGAAGGGTTGGGCAGCAGAAGCCTCTCAGAGGTGCCCTTGACAACGAGCCCTCACGAGGGGACTTACGGGTGCTGTCATTGGAAGGACGGGAATAGTAGTCGACCTGGAAGCCCCTCTTTGTGATGCTGCCATCGCTGACGAAGCGAATGGACATGAAGTTCGATGATGAAGTGAAGGAGCGCCTGGCTCCATCACAAACGCGGGCAATCAGAGGGGAGCTGTGGGAGGGGCCGTCAAACACTTCGATATAGTCGTAGTTACAGCCTCCTTCAAGCCTGCAGGGACAGAACACAGAGTTTTGGCTTCGATTTCAGCCAGGATTTAATGCAGGGGGTCAGACTCCAGTGACGGGGGCCACACCTTGGTGTCAGAAATGGCGACTTTCTGAAAATAATAGCTGAAGATAATACAGTGACATTCACCTTCCGGTGACCTCCATGGATCTTAGTCCTGCCTTTTGGGGGTCACACATATGAATCTACAGCCCCTCTCCTGACACCCCTCTGCACCATGAAAGGAAGGGGTCACAGCCTGCCTTAGACTGTTTCTTCATTCAAACAGACCCTGGTTTCCCATAGAATAATATAAATATTCATGAATTCATAGTGATAGAAATAGGTAACTGAACTAATAAATATTGGGCAAGTCAAATAACCTCTCTGAAGGTTAGGTGGTCAACCTTCCTCCAGAGGATTGAATGGGCTTTAAGTACAGTCTCCAAAATGCAAATTGAATTATAATGATGAGGAAATTAAAATAATATTATATCTTTTACAAGACTCCAAATGAATTTCCAAGGCAGAGATTCGCAAGGGCACTGCAACCAAAAAGCAAGAGAGAAAACCATTCTGTTCAAGAATGGCTATTACAGAAAAAATAATGGTACCCTCCTTCCTGGACTCTAAAATACCTCTGCATGGTCACTCCCTTCCTTGGACCAATATTATATTAATGTGGCTTTGATGTTGTCTCTCCTGCTTAAAACAGTGATTCCCACTCTTCATTGAATGAGGAACAGATAAATTAACCTCTGCAGTAGTGACTTCTCCACCTCTGCTTGACCCCAAGAACTCATCCCAAAAAAGGAAGGAGTGGAGAGAAAATTGTTTTAAAAACAAAACAAAACAAACAAAAAAACCACAACCGGGGTGGTTAATAAGATTTTCTGTGTTACTATTACTCCAACAATCATCCCTCCTATTGGATAATATTTTCCAAGTATTTTCACATATTTCTCTCGTGTGACCTTCCCAGTAGCCAGAGAGGAGAGGGAAGCAGGTATTTTATTCTCTTGCTTTGACTCAGGTTCAGGAAAATTAAGTGACTTCCTGTGGTCACGTAGCAAATTAGTGACAGACTTGGGACTTTAAACCAAGGCTCTTGTCCTGGCTGCACCTCCACAGGCTGCCTCTGTGCTTGATAAACAAATTGAACCCATAAGAGAACATGTCAAGTGGGCAAACATCATTCCTGAAGGGCTAGGTGCCATTTGCTCTGTTCTGAAATATCCGTGAGGCAGCCCCACACACTTACTGGACATCTCTGAAGACAACAGTCACACGGTAGTTGTTTCGGACCTCGATGTCCCACAGGCATTTGGCATTGTTTGGATAGTTCCCAGGATAGAATGGGCTGGAAAAGTGCCCTGATGGTTGGGACAGGAAGCCTCCACAGGAGTAATTTGCTGTCGGGATGAAACAAAAATGTTGAGGACCCCCAGAGCCCACGGCACAGTCACCTGGGGGAAATTTTTAAACAACTCCCTAGACAGAAACCCAGCAGGAGGCATCCTAGACCCAGACTGTCCAGAGAGGCTCCCCTAACCCCCGCCGCCCCACCTGGTAGCACCGTCACTGGGGAAGAAGAAGGGGATTTCTCAGAGAGCCCAGAACTTACTGTTCGGGTAGGTGACGTTGTAAACAGGAGCTGTTGATAAAGAGAAAAGATAACAATCAGTTTCCTGGCATCGTGGACACAGTTGTTGTCCTCACTTGTGCTGTGAGGAAATGTGCCGACCCTGGGTTCAAAGCCAAATGCTGGATACTTGCCCTCAGGGAGCTCACACCCCAGAGGGATGGATGGGAAGGAGCAAATCCCTGGGTAAGCCCAGGACATGGTGGGAGCCCAGAGCATTGGCTCCTGACCCAGACTAAGCAGAGGAGAGAAGGCAGGTAATTTGCTGGGGGTGAGGGGGGGTCGGGGTTGGGGGGATGGAATCAGGCAAAAAAGTACAGGGGCATTCCAGGCAGAGGGAACAGAAAGTGCAAAGGGACCCAGGTCTGAGAGTACGTTGCACATTTAGGGAACATCAGTGTGGATGAAGCAAGGAGGGGGTGGGGAGGAAATGAAACAGATCATGGAGAGCTCTAGAGACTCTCCCAAGCAGTGGGGATCTGTGGCCAGATGGCCCTGGGGAGTCACATGAAGGGTGCAAGGGTGTGGGAGCTGGGACCAACACCTGCATTTCATAAGGATGCCCAGCTGCTGTGTGAAGAATGAAGGCAGGGAGGCTGAGGGGTCGCTGCTGCAGGAAGCAGGTGGTGAGGAGGGGAGGGGTGGGGACAGAGGGGAAAGATCTCAGGAGCCAGGGGTGTGTTGGAAATGCTTAGAGCAATTTTGGCCACAGCTCCGGAGCAATCAGGAGCTCCAGAGCAATCAGGAGCTCAGTTCTCCGGGCAATCGGGAGCTTCAACTGGCCCTGCATGGAGTTCAGTGATGAAACAGAACCCACTGGCCTGCACTGAGCAGGGTCTGGTGTCCTAAGGATAGGCAGGACCTACACGGGTGGCTGGCCTCTCCTAGGGACTGACCAGAGAGCTGGCCAGGCTGGCCAGGCTACTGATGAACAAAGGGAGCCGAGAGAGAGGCCCAGCCTCCTCAGGTAGGGACATTAGTTGCAGGGTTGCCCCCAGTGCTGGGGAAGGCCTTGGGGACAACTCTTGTGAAACCGAGTGGGACATCTTGCACCAGCAATGGAGAGGGCCGGCCAGGCAGCGGGCAGGAATCACGGGTACTTACCCTGTGTTGTTGGGTAGCTTCCTGTAAAGGGATAGAAAAAAAGCATCAGTCACTGAAGTGTGTCTGGAGGAGGGGCCAGAATGCGGGAGGGCACACCCAAGTGACACAGTCTGACCTCTTCAGTGAGTGCATTGTGCTGTGGAGGCCTGTGTTAGCAGGGGGAGGCCTGCACACATCTCCCCAGCTGCTCCCCCAGCCCCATCATTACCTGGGGATCGTCAGTGCCACAGCCAAAGTCGCACCATCACTCATTCCTCATTTCCTACTTGTCTGGAACCGTTCTAAGGGTTCACGCGCATGAGCCACTTAGTTCTCTAATCGCCCTTGGAAGCAGGCTTATTGTGACCATGTCCTCTCCATACACGAGGAGACTGAGGCCTACAGACATGACCTCATTGCTAAAGGTCACAGGGCAGATAGAAGGGTGAGAACACACTGCATGCCAGCTGTGTGTTCAGCGTGATGGCTCTGGGGCCCAGAAACCCACCGGAGACACAGTGGCCCCTGCATGGTCTCCTGGAGTGGGAAGGCCAAGGGCATAAGCTGACAAGCTCCGGTCTGCCTCCACTTCCAGAACTGGGCCACAAATACCATCAGCCACCGGCCCTTAGCTGTCACTCTGTAGCAGGTCAGAGGTGAAAGGGGCCTTCCATGAATGACGTCATGTGGTACCTGAGCAAATGACTCCGGCATCTTCCCGGTGGGCACAGTCATGGGAGAACCAGCCTCGGTTCCGGCACTGCCAGAGAGTAGATTCTGTCCCGGAGCACACCACATCATCCAGGGTGATGGGACCAGAGCCGGGCCCAAAATGGGCATTTCCCAGGGCTGACACTGCATATCCACACCGCAGCTGTCTGCAGACCACTTGGGCATCCTGAATGTCCCAGGAGTCATCACAAACCGTCCCCCATATGCCATTGTGGTAAATTTCCACACGCCCGGCACAGGCACCGTAGGAGGAATTTGAACTGACTAATCTCAGGCTGGCATCTGAAAGACACACGGCATAAGAAATGATGGCCACTCCCACAACAGACCTCACAGGCCAAATAACCCATGGGCCTTTCTCACTCCTAAAGTCACCAGGCGGCTGATCAGGGTACAGATGTCTCCAAGATCAAGCTGGAAGGGGCTCAGACCCCCTCACCCTCCAGATGGGAACATGTTGGTTCACAGTAAGGTCAGTCACCAGGTCTCCGGGGAATTTCGTGGCAAACCCAAGACCAGGCTGTGTCCCCCATTCCCTACATCTCTTAGCTTTCGTTTACCAGTCAACTGTGAGACAAGGAGGAGGGATGTTTGATTTCATGTGGGAACCACGATACCCAGAAGCAGGGTCCACATAAACACACTGAGCCTCCAAGGTCAGGTCGATCGGGTTTAGTGTGAACGCACCTCGAGGAAAGGAGTTATACCAAGCAGAAAAGCCGGTGCTTTGGATACTGATGTCACTTCGAAATCGAACGGTCATTCGGTTGTAAGAAGAGGTGAATATTTGCCTGGTGCCATTACAAATTTTCCCCAGCAAGTTACTGCTGTTCAGCGGTCCATCAGAGATTTCGACATAATCGAAATTGCAATTGCTGTTCACCTCCAGCCTGTATGAAAAAGTGGATTCATGTCAACATTGAAATCTCTATCGCTCCTGTATTTTACAGATAGTTTGGACTTTCACGGGCAACGTTACTGAATCTAAAATATTCTTTGAGCTGTTCCTCAATCAGATTAAAGGAATTCCCAATGTTGCTGGACGCTTCATGGTAGGATCAGAGCAATGTGACATGTGGTCCATGGCATCTGAGAGTGTAAAGCATCTCAGCCCCGCACACAGCCCAAACCGTGGAGGACCATCCTTCGCCAGATGACCTGGCTGTTACTCACTGCAGACTGTTGAATCCCAGATTTATGCGATAGCCGGGGTTCACTTCTATTTCCCAGACACAGTAAGCATTGTTGGGGTAGTATCCAGGGTAAGATGGGCTGAAAAATGTCCCACTGGCATTGAATAAGAAGCCACCACAATTTGAAGAGGGTCCTACAGAGGAGAGAGAGGGACACACCAACATGGCAGGTTTCAGGTGTGTTACAACAAGCAATTGTCTTTTGGGTACGAGTCCTCTGACCTTAGAACATGACTCAGTTTTTCCTCTCTTGGGCCCGGTCCTGGGCTGCCTCACATTAGGGACCTTGATCTGAGGATCTACCTCCCCCAAAGGGCCTAGAAAAGTGACTCTCTGTCCAGAGGTGACCCAAGCTTCAGAGAGAGCCTGAGTCACCTTGAAGCAAAAATGCCAAGAAAGCAACAAAGTGATGATTGTCATTGTTCAGGGGGTTACAGGGATAACGCTGGCTGAGTGGGAGTGTTGGCCCATGGAGAGCGCTGTGTAAAGGAACTTATTCCCTAGGGTCTCCTGCCAGTTGACAAGAAGCAGTGTAAAGTGGGGTCGAAAGTAGGGTTTCTGCCACAGAAGGCCCAGGCTTGCAGCTTGACTCTGCCGTTATCAGCTCCATGATCTTGAGCAAGTCACTTAACCTCTCTGCCTCAGCTTCCTTATCTGAGAACTGGGAGTGATCATAACATCTGTCTCATCAGATTCTTAGGAGTATTTAAAATTTTTTTTTTCAACTTTTTTTTTTAATTATATTTGGGACAGAGAGAGACAGAGCATGAACGGGGGAGGGGCAGAGAGAGAGGGAGACACAGAATCGGAAACAGGCTCCAGGCTCCGAGCCATCAGCCCAGAGCCTGACGCGGGGCTCGAACTCACGGACCGCGAGATCGTGACCTGGCTGAAGTCGGATGCTTAACCGACTGTGAAACCCAGGCGCCCCGAGATTCTTAGGAGTATTAAATGAGACAATACGTGAAAACTCTCAGAGCATTTCCTGGCACATAAGAAGCACCCAACAGTATTAGCTATTACTATTTAGCAGAGAATGACAAATAGTATTTAGCATTCAAACTTTCGTTGGCCAGTCTAATAGGCCATTTAAAAGTATTTAGATACTCAGGTGCCTGGGTGGCTCAGTCAGTTAAGTGTCCGACTCTAGATTCCGGCTCAGGTCTTGATCTCACAGTTTGTGGGATCAAGTCACGCATTGGGCACTGCACTGACAGTGTAGAGCCCGCTTGGGATTCTCGCGCTCTCTCTGTTCCTTTCCTGCTTGTGCACTCTCTCTCTCAAAAAAATATATATTCTACATCAAGGATCATTCATAATAATGAAGAAATATAAATAGCAATTGGGGATTAGTTAAATAATTCGTGATCATAACCGTGTAATGAAATACAATGCAGGCATTAAAACGATGGAAAGAGAATATTCGATGACATAAACAAGTGGCCATATAATTTCTCAAGAGTGATGGAAAGCTACTGAACAATAGCCATATCACAAGGGAAAACTGGTAAAAACATGGTTATTTGTGAAATTACCCATTTATCATCTCCCTTCTCTCAAAGCTTTGGAGAGCCTCCAAGAAATAAAAGCCTTTAAGTCTATTCCTTGAAGAATCACTTATTTCATTTCCTTAAAGGAAGGGGAAATAGATCTCCTTATGAAAACAAAAATCATCTACCTGGCAGGGGGGACGTAAGGGCTGAGGGTGTGGAAGGTAGATGCAGGCTGTGTGTGTAGTTTGGAATGCGGTGTGCAGTGGGGCAGACCTAGGGAGGCTATGTGTGCACGTTGAACTGGGCTGTTCATTTACAGGCATCTCCTGCCTGGACAGCCAAGCCTGGGGATGAGAACCCCATGCCCTCAGGTGGAAGAACGTGATACTTACTCCCAGTGGTTGTAGTATGTGGGTACCACCAATCTAGAAAGAAAATGAAATGCTTTTAGGTTTAAATTCCACGGTCATTCATTTGGTAGAGAAAGCTCAATTCTTTTGCTTAATAAAGGGCTTCTCAGAGCCCAGACATTTCTCATTTACATTGCGAATGGTTGGGGTGGGCTAGTGTGTGTAACACTTCCCCACACACATGGCACCAAATATTTTTGCAGTAGGGCAAGGCACACTTTGCAGATTGCTCTCTCGATGTGAAGGGATTCTTGAAACAGACAAGCACTTGTACAAGTTGTACTGGGTCGTGTTTCTCAAATGATCACGGTTCTGACTCAAACAATTATTTCATCTGAAATGACCAGAGGGTCCCAAACCTCTTCCACAGCAGCCTCTCTGAACAAGCGCTGGCTGCAGAGAGTGGCAGGGGCCCCAGAAGGGCCCTCAGGCTAAGCTAAGTAAGAACTAAGGTCCTGGGGACTCAGCTGGTCACTGCAACACATCCCAGAGTCCTCAAAGAGAAGATCCTGGTCTTCTCCTCCTATTTCTAGAAATATTAGAGTAGAATTCAGGAGAGGGGCCCACACTGTGCAGAGATGCACCTACTCACCTGGGGTAGCAGAGGTGCTCTGGGAGGCTGTGAGAAAAGAAAATACCTTATCAGTCTCTGTCTCTGTGAAGGACATTCTGGAAGAAGCCACTCAGGATTCTGAGAAACAGAATTGCTGAGTGCCTGTCCCGTTTATCACTAAGAAAGACTTTCCAGGAGTGGTGCAGAGGAGCTGAATGGTAAATGAAAAGCTTCGAGGCAGGTCTCCACAAAAAAAGTGTTGCAAGAATTTGTTCTTACAACCTTTATGCACATTAATATGTGGCTCTGCTCTATGGCCCCAGCTAGAGAAGATGTTCCAGTCCTCCCATAAAATTCAAGGACACCAGGGATGATTGGTCATGCAGTGTCTTTCAAGATATGAAGGAAACTGCCTGCCATTAGAGAACTTCAGAAAGATTAAGAGACCTGTGAGAGAAAAGAGTTTTTTCTAGAGAAAATTACAAATAATAAATACAGTCCCAATTTTGTGAAGACCAACCTAAGCAGATGACACCGGCATCCTCCCCGTGGCCACAGTTGTGTGAGTTCCAGCCGTTGTGGGGGCAGCGCCACAGGTAGGACTCTTGCCCGGAGCAGCGCACGTCGTCCAGGACAATGGGCCCTGAGCCCTGACCAAAGCGGGCACTTCCCGGGGCCGACACGGCCCAGCCACAGCCCAGCTGACTGCACACCACGTTGGCGTCATTGGTGTCCCAGTCGTCGTCACACACGGTGCCCCAGGAGCCTCGGTACAGGACCTCCACGCGGCCCTGACACCGGTCACTTCCATTCACCAGCCTCAGAGCCAAACCTGATTCATTCCCTAGCAGGAGACAGGAAAATTATCTTCTTTTTTGTTACTGTAGGAAGAGTTCCTGAGGTCTGAGTGGATAAGACTTACTACAGGGACTGTGACTTCTGGGATCAGGTTAAGGTTGCCCAGCAACAGGACTCCCTGAAGCTTGCTCATCATTATTCATCATCCAGGGTCTACTTTAGGTGCCCTTGAGTGTCAGATGACTTATGTATGTTCACTGATTGGTTGCCCACAATGTCATCGTTTCAATTGCTGACCCAGGTCATGGGATACAGGGGCGATGGTGAAAGCCAGCAGCATGACCTAGTACCTCAGCAACCAACCAAGCACTTACTTCAAACCCAGAGATCCTACCCAGCTGCCACCAAGGAGATGTCCTAGGACCTAGCATTTGGAGTGTCTACCTTTACCTGACTGTCCTATATATCATGGACCCTACCTCTGGGCCTGAGGCTTCTTCTGAAGGTTCCTTTACTGCTGACCACTAACTCATGTCACCCTCAAGCCCGAAGGTTGTACTGAATCTTTAACAGTCCATGAACCCTCTGAATATCATGACAGTGAGCAGGAGTAACTATCACTGATTCCTAGCTGTGCATACTTAGAGCTGCCCAGGCCTGTGGGTGGCAGAAAAGAAACAAAACATGGTAGCATTAGGCCTGCTGGCAGGAAGGGTATCTGCCAGATTCAGCACGAGACCAGACATCATGATTCCTCAGGCTCACCTGGACCCTGCCCTCACTATCCCGTGAGATGTGCTTTGGCACTGACCATGGTGTGGTCCTCAGGCCTTCAGGCATTTATAAAATGGGGGCCATGCTCTCCAAGCAGATGGACACATGCAGCAAGCACATGAAAGAAATGCCCAATTCTCTAGCTGTTAGGAAAATACAAATCCTAACCACAGAAAGATAGCAACTCCTGCCCACAAGGATGACTACAATAAAGGACCAGAAGAAGTCTGAGGATGTAGAAAAAGCAACACCCTTAGATGCTGCTACTCCTACCCAAAATTGGTGCTGCTTCTGTGTTAAACAGTTCAGTACTTCCACAAAAAGTAAACTTAAATTATTTGACCCAACCATTCCACACCTAGATATACACACAAAAGGTCTGGAAACAGGTGTTCAAACAAGAAAATTGTACACAGAAGTACATGGAAATACTACTCAAAATACTCAAAGGGAGAAACAATCAACATGCCCTTCAACAAATGAATGGATAGAAAAAAGGATAGGGATGCATCCTGACAATGCATACATGCACCGCGATGGTGAACCATGAAAGAGTCTACTGCCTGAAAAAAGCCAGTCACACAAGGCCCTGTATTGGCTGATTCCATTCATATGAAATGTCCAGAGTGAACAAATCCATTGGCACAGAGGTGATGACCAGGCTATAAAGGGGCTTGGGATGTGAATGGTTAAAGACATGGGATTTCCAGCAGAGGTGATGAAAAATTCTGGAACTAGATAGTGTGATGGTTGTACTACTTGGTGAGCACACTAAAAAGCTCAGGATTCTACACTTTAAATTGATAAGTTTTGTGGTAGATATAGCCCAGAGACCCAAAGAGCAGAAAAACAAAAATTATTTGGCCATCTACTATAGTCTTGAGTCACAGAACCCATAATCAGAGTTTACTGCAGAATTAAAATGAGCAGGAGCTGAGAGTCCTGCTGTCCCTATGGAAGACGAGCTACCAGAGTCTAGGGGAAATCCAGGCGCTCTAAGTTGCCCCATAGACACTGTACTGTCAGCACAGAACTGGACCCTATGCTAGAGGCCAACTCCAGAGCAAAGTGCAATGTGGGCTGACACCCCAGGGAGAGGCAATGCTCTGTGCCGGGCTACACAAGCATGGACAGCATTCAGGAGAGACTACCTGGCAGAGGGGAAAGCTGCAACAGGGGAGGTCTTTCTTCATGTCAGAAATCTCTTGCCCTGAACTTTAAGTACAGAAACCATCCTTCCTATTGTATAAACCAGTGAAGACTTCATTCCATAAGGTTTAAGTAGAGCATAGTATCACATCCAGTCCCTCTCTCCTAGGGAACAGGAAAGTGGGCATGGGGACCCTGACCAGGCTATCAGAGCACATGGACATGGTTCTGGTGACTCATCTACTGCCAAGAAGGTGCTCAAGTCCTTCGAAGACATGTCACCAGAGATATGCAGACAAATGGAGTCTTTCGCCTGGTGGCATAGAGACCAAGGGCTGGCAACTGCCCCCCACATGCAGAAAGCACCCAGGGTGAAGCCATGCACATAAGAAAGTGCAAGTAAGGGGGCACCTGGGTGACTCAGTTGGTTAAGCAACCAACTTAGACTCAGGTCACAATCTCACAGTTTGTGGGTTTGAGCCCCGTGTCGGGCTCTGTGCTAACAGCTAAGAGCCTGGAGCCTGCTTCAGATTCTGTGTTTCCCTCTCTCTCTGCCCCTCCTCCACTCACACTCTGTCTTTCTGTCTCTCAAAAAAAAAAAGTAAAACATAAAAAAATGCAAGTAAGAAAAACAATGGGGGGAAGACAGTGCTGTAACTTTTACATCCAGTTTTCCTGAGCTAGAGCTTTTGCACTACTATCCTCAATATGTGAGCCATTGACTCTCTACTAGCATAAAGAGGCTGAGCTAGTTTCCTATCACTTGTAAACAAGAGTGCCCTGACTAGTAGCTCCCACAAAGCGTGGGTGGTGGAAATCATAATTCTTGTGGGGAAAGGAAAACCCCACACTGGACAGGGTGGGGGCAACAGAGGCTGAACCCAACATTCAGAAATGTCACCAATGCCAGTTGATGAATTTGTTTCATGTTTGCTGGTTTGACAGGATCCAGGATGCTTACCATAGAAAGAAGTCGTATACCACCAATCTGGGAAAAAAAAACAAACAAAGCACAGTCAGAAAGGAGGGGGATAGGATCAAGGTTAGCTAAGTGACCAGTAAGTAGAATCAAGGACAGTGGGGTCTCAGGAGTTCTGCTGGATGAAGTGGAATGTGGCCTCTGCGGAGAGCCTACCACGAGCCAAACTCCTGCCCTCGAATGTTCATGACAATGGCAACAAGGTGGTACAATCTGCAATAACAACTGCCATGCACTCCTGACAGAATGTTCTTAGGAAAAGCATTCCTTTGGGAAGGCTCCATGTGGGATAATGACATGAAATACCTATTTTCCCATCCCTGTAGAATTTGGTCCAGACGATGCTTTCAGACACAAATGACCACGGAAGAGAACACTGACTGCCACCAAAAGCATAGAGTGAAGATTGTGCAGTTAGAGTGCACTTATGCCACTGAGCCACACAGGAAAATCGATTGTGGATTCAACCAGAACTGTCTACAGGATGGAGAGTGATAAGGGAAGGTCCAGGGAGTCAGAAAGATGCCACAGTCCTATTTGTAGCTATAACTTGGGCCTAGGACAGGAGGAAGGTGAGAGAGATGGGTAAGAGTCAAGAGGCAGCAGAACTCACCTGGTCTGATCGTGGGCTGGGACTGGGCAGCTGTGAAGAGAACACAGCACATGAGAAGGGTGCACAAACCTAGCACAACTGGATGCAGAGGGGAAGGAACTAAGCAGGTAGACACCTTGGAAGTGAGTCCCCAGCTATGGAGGGTGGGTCAAGTGATATCCACACCCTGGATGATGCCCGACTTCACAGGGCCAGGCAGACACAGAACATGATTTCCCAGGTCAAGGTGCTTGGCTCCATGTATACAAGCAGTGACAAAGTTAACAAAAACCAATCAACTGCCTTGAGCTTTGAGTGGCTCACGATGGCAGCAAGACAGAGGAATACAACTACCCCAAAATGCATGTCAATCTTTCAGGCTTAAACAGCGGTCATGACAAGGTATATCTGGTATCACAATTCTCGAGGGGGACATATACTGGGACTAAGGACCCCAAACCTGGAGCAGCAGTAGGAACACATATACTGGTCTGCAATCCTGATCATAGGATGCCCATGAGAGAACTCCAGCAGGCGGGTCTTTCGTCGCCAGCAACAGTGTTGCAAGAGACAATGAATGGCATCACGGGGACTTGGGGTTAGGCACTTGTACTAATTTATCATCTAGACAAATGGCAGCCTGACAAAAACTGATACTGACACTGGAGGAGAGTTGAGGAGACATGAGGAAGACAGGGAAGGTATAAGTAGCTTCCAACGATCTGATCAGGACAGGAGGTCTCTCCTCCCTACCCAACAGCAAGAGAAACTCCTAACAACAAGAGGCTCACCTGAACAGATGACACTGGCATCCTCACTATGGCCACAGTTGTGCGAGTTCCAGCCATTGTGGGGGCAACGCCACAGGTAGGACTCTTGCCCGGAGCAGCGCACGTTGTCCAGGACAATGGGCCCTGAGCCCTGACCAAAGCGGGCACTTC